ATGAGAGATGAAACAAAAGTTTAGAGTGAAATAATTTAAAAGCAATAATAGTGTAAAGGTACTGTGATGACAGTTATAGGCAGGGGCTTTACTTTGATTGTTGTTATTATTATAGTAATATAACAATAACAATGTGATTCTTCTTTGTTGTTGTAATAACATTATGATCCTCCTGGTAAGAGAGTACGTAAAACAAAAATAAGGATTCTGTAGTTATATTAAGCTGCTGCACATCTTGATCATTTTGAACCATAGAATTTTTATTACTATTTAAATACAGTCAACAGTCTTGGAGGTGGATTGTAGGAAAAATTATAGAGGAGAGAGTAGAGGTCTCGGAGATTATTTTGGCAATGAAATTCTACACATGAGAGGTATCCTGGAAATATTTTTCTGATCACAAAACAAACACTCTGTTCCTGTTCTCTGTTTCATTCAGCTGTCCCCAAGCTCTGGTATTTAGTCAAAGAATGGGATGGGGAGGGTGGGAACAGTCTTTTTGTCAGAACGATATTGTTTGAAACACCTGTCCAGAACATCCCATAGAAAAGAGACAAAAGTATTCATTTAACTGAACCAATTAAAACCAACTAAAACACTCAGGAAAGGTGTCTAAAATAGACTGTCTGGCTTTTGGGGAAACATGCTGCCCCCAGTGTTTCCAGATTTGTAACATAACCTTTTTTCTTATAGCAAGTTTCTCTCCGCATGCTTGTAAATATCTAGTCATTCAGGCAGCTCTAACTATTCTCTTTCAAGGGACCAGCAGAACTTTTCAAACACCACATTGACTTACTCTGCTGCTGACTGTTAATTTTGAAAGAATCACTCAACATTTATTTTAATCAGAATAAACATAACTCTAGCTGTCTAACCCTCTTCTTCTTTACTGCCAAGGAAAACCCAATTTCACATGAAGTATGCGGTATTTCTGTTTCTGCTTAGCCCCTCTCATGCTTGAAGTCTGCATGTTCCTTTCCTTTCATAACCAACCCCCCTGTTTTTCACACTCTCCAATCCATCAGCTACCCAAAACAGATGGTGATATTTTATCAGAGTCCACTTAGCAGTAGTTATTCTTTTTGTGTGCAGTCATTACCATATCTGTCTAAACAGTATGCCGTCTTCTTCACCCTTTTATGAATTGAAATACATTTTTAAATTGCTTTGTAATTTCCTCATCTCCTTCAGGTTTTGATAATTTTCTCATACATTCATGGTCATAAATTTCCCTAAAATTTTACTGGTAATCTTACACTAAAAGCCATTGTTTTTTCTGTTAAGAGGCAGCAAAGGAAGGACTTAACCTATGCTTACCTGACAATTATTTTTCTGGCCGGACTGCATGTTTCAGCTGATGTTGAAAAAAGGCCTATTGCTAATAGAAAACCCAGGTAGAGTATTACTTGTGGCTCTGAAAGGACTTCAGGAAGCTGTTTTTAAGAGGGAATGAGCACTTGTGGAAAGATGCTGCTATGATTGTTTTTAGCATTGATTCACATTACCTGAACTGCCTGTCCCTGCCTGTTCCTTCATACTGGGGAGTTAATGGCCCTTCTTTCTGTAGCAGCATAACAGAACCAGTGAAACAGATGCTTGGAAGTTTATTCAGCTGAAGTGGACTTCTCTGTGCTTGCTTACATTCCCCATTTATTCATAGCAGCTGTGAGTCCCTTTGGTGTTCTGGGTTTGTGTTGAGTTTTTTTTGCTTAATTCCTTATGCAGGCTCCTTAAGGCTGTGATTATTTCCCCCTGCTCATAGATCTTTGTTTGGGAAGAAATCTTCTAATATCAAGGGCTCCCTTGGTTCTTCAGTGTTCTGTAACTACATTTGATCCCATTAAAGGAAACCACATAAAGAGCTGCTTTTTGTTATCAGAAGGGGAAAGAAAATCATCTCTGGCAGTGAGGAAAAATCAAGATTAGCCAAATATGTTGTAATTGTAAATAAGACTTCTTAACTATACCCTTAAAATCGGACAAAATGTAGTCTTTAACTATCTCTTAACCTCCAATTTTTAGAAGTAAGATTCAGAATAATCCGTTTCAGAGCAGCTATGAGATTTAGTTGTTTTTCACTGAGAAATCTCCTTGGGGAAAATACTTATTGCTACCCATCTTTTAATATGAATCTCCTGTGCACATCTTCCTGTCTGTACTAGACTGGGTCTCTAGGTCAAATACTAATGGAAATGAAAAATATTGCCTCAGCCTTGCAGCCAGTAGTATGCCAGTGGGAAGCTAAGATATTTTGGAACCTGTTAGCTCTAAAAAAAAATAATGAAAGCTGTGAAAAAACTCTAGTAGAGTATGGTTCTAGTTCTCAGAAAGATGATGCTTCAATCCTAAGTTGTTGAAGAAAGAATCTTATGCCAGCCCTTGAAATTCCAGCTGCATGATAGACATCTTTTGAAGCTACCCACTGATCTTAGCAGGGGTTTTGCAACTGCTAGGGAGCTCTTGGAAAAGTTTGGAAGCTGCTTTGTGGTGTCATGCAGCAGAAAGCTTCTAGAGCTTCTGTCTAGTTCTTTCCCCTGCTGGGATTCGGTCTGTCTAGGTAAGATCCTAGGGGTGGGGTTGAAAAAAGACTGACAGAAATATGAAGGAACTGGCTATCTGAAACCAGCTTCTTGTGACTGACTCCTGCTATCGTATCAGATCTCCTTTCTTTAGTCAAAGACCAGAGAAGACTCACTCTCCTTCCCATCCTTCTGGGAAAACTATTCTTGGCCTCCTGGAGATGTTTGGGCTCAGGATTCTCATGCTCCCAGTTCCTATCTCATGCAGACAGTCCCATGTCCTTATTACATTCCCAGAGCTCAGAGTGATGGGTACAATATAAACAGAATTTAAAGTGAGAGCAGAGACTGAGACAATATGTGTAGTCTGGGCAATAAAGCTGAGAGTGTTAACAATTTAAGAACATGAGAACGGGAGGGCTGGGCAAATGGGTCTGTGTGTGTGGAAGTGAGCAAGAATAAGAATATGCGAGTATCAGTTAACCTTTTTCTTACGCAGGTAGATACCTTTAATAAGAGAATGTGGACCTCTTTAGAGCCTGATGTGGGCCTTGCTTTTCCACCTTTCCTCAACCCCACCATTTTTTCCTCATTAGTTCAGTGTATTGGTAAGATATATATGAACACCAAACTGAACAAAGAGCATTATTCTAGTAGTAAAACCTGGTATTTACAGGAAAAAAAAATCAGTATTTAAAAATAAAGGCTAGAGAGAGAAGAAAACTGAGAAGGAAAACAGGAAGGCCTTGCTGAAAAGAAACAGAGTTGGGGCCACTTTTTTCAGTGTTAGCATTTAAATCCTGACTCTTTCATGCTTAATTTTGCTCATGAAAAGACTATACCAATGCTTCTGAACACCTTATGCTACTCGTAATGATGGTAATCCTATGATTCGCCTTTCTTGTCCACTTGGGATAGGAATATTTCCAGAGGTTACCAAGTATCCAGTGAAGATTTTAGTCAGGAGTACCACTGGTGGACCGAGGACCCTGGCAGACAGTATACTTATCAGTTGTGTGATTAACATGTTAATCATGTGATAAATTGAAATGCACCACGCTGTCAGCCAATGTATGGTGTAATAAAATGGCAAACCAGCCACACAGTGGTTTCACATTTAACATGAAACATCTTTGTGACTGGTTAGTATCCCACTTTAGTTTGAGAGTGTGGCATGCAGCCCAACATCAAGGTGTATGGTGTGCTTTAAATGTCCTGGCACGGAGACCTTATGGATTCTCCCTGGGTGGAGCAGTTTAAGGCTGTGCCACTTAGCCCAATGCTGAGTTGACAGGTCTGCGGAGAGCTCTTTGGTCCTGAGCTGCATGCACACCCCTTCAGGGTACATGGTTGCATGTGTGCTAGGGACTGGGGAGCTCCTCATCCATAGCTCTTCATGCCCTGGCACACGTGCAGCCAGCTGCACACCCTGGCAAATGTG